TTAACAGATCCTCGGTACTACGGGTCTGCAAAATGAACCAATGTATTTATACAACGCAGGATGGATCCCTGACTTCATGTAGTTCACACCATGTAGTTTTCTGACCCAACCATCTGAATGTTGCAGCACAAATCGAGACTCATCAGAGCAGGCAATGTTTTCTAACCTTCTGTTATCCAATTTTGGTGAGCCTGCATGATCATAGCCTCAGGATTTGGTTCTTCAATAACAGGAGTGACACCTGGTGCAGTCTTCTGCTCGGCAAGTGGTTGTTTGAATTACTGTTTCCTTCCAATCAGTGTCATTCAGAGAACTCCCGCACACTCTTTTTCAGATCATTCTCTGTAAACCGTAGGGATGGCTGTGCAGGAAATCCCAGTAGATCTGTAGTTCCTGCAATACTCATACTGTCTGGCAATAACAAACATGCTAGATTCAAAGTAGCTTAAATCCCCCTTCCCTTCCCCTTTCTGATGTTCGGTTTGATAATCAAAAGGTAGTTTTTAGTTGTAAGTAAAACACTGTACATAATAAAGTGGCCATTTAATGTGTAAATATTGCCAATTGTTTAGGGTTTATATAAATGCTAATATTGATCTGACATCCATGCAGTGAGTAATTGCAAAACTGAATGCAGTTGTCAAATGACTGAGGAACAAAAGCACCTGATGATTCATGAACTCTGATGGGGAAAGGAGTGTGTGATAGGGCAGCTGTATTCCTTGACCTTTTGACTGTCTTATCGCAAACTTTACTCTCCTTTTTACAGTAATAACGACACGAGGAGGAAGTAAAATTCTGTACACCTGTCGAGCTGTAACGGCCGAACAGAAGCAGCTTTCCTGGTAAAAACATACATGTCAGTGAGGTCACAAGAGATGTTTTTAAATTGTCCCTAATTCACTGCTCAAAAATATAAGAACAGAAAATCTTTGTTTAACTTTTCCAATGTAGTATTTCAGATACAAAATATAATTTTCTTTGGGCAAATGCCTGATTTTGTCTCAGATGTTAAAGTGCGCTCGTTATAAATGAAATTATCTGTTGCAGAAGACACTTTTGTATGCAGAGTCTACGGTCTTATAGTGATTGCTACATGCTGGAAAATTTACTGTGTAAGATTGAAATAACCGTTTGTTTCACATCCTAATGACGAAGCATGATTTGTATGATCAACGGTCTTTGATCAGTCATTGCACAAATATACTGTTGATAAGGTTGCAGCTGCAATCAGCTGAGACTGAAGAAGTCACTTGGATGAGTGACGAAACGTTTCTCCCGCTGAAAACGCTACGTCCAGATGAACAGAGTCAACCTTTAGGGATCGCTTTTTGGAGGTTTACATGTTTCCTCTCTGGTGCTCGTGAATGTACAATCTACTTTCCAATTTAGGGTTATGAGGGGGCTGGAGCTAACTCCAGCTGTCACAGAGACAGACACACCCATGACCCATTTGGAATTACCATTTAACCTCAAACATGCATGTCTTTGGATGTCAGGAGACACCCGGAGTACCCAATCACACAGAGAACATAGAAATTCAGCACGGAAAAGCCAAAGCCTGATGGATTCAAATCCAGGAACTTGTTCTGTGAGGCATCAGTGCCAATCACTGCACCACCAGCCACTTGTCTTGGGCAGCCATGTCAGTTTCATTTATCTTAAAATGTGGGGAAGTTGTTTCACAGACTCTCATTGACAGTATGTACCCAGTTTGGGAATATCCTGTATTTTTGCATGACTGACTCTATCCGTGGTCCTCACTGTTCTGAAAGGAAACTTGGAGATCACAACCAACATCAAGCTTATGATGTCGGTTTCTAAGGTCGGACAGTGGTGCCCTCTAGTGGTTAAAAAGTAGATGTCGCTTCAGTGAGTGGAAAACACTCCCTGGCCACTCTGTCAGTCACACCCTGTTAAGCTGCACGCAAATTCAAATATCCGGTCGGTCAATCGCATGCCACCAATGCATTAAGATGATAGCCAGTCATGATAGACAGCACACACATTTAAATCTTCATTAAAAACACATTTATTTTCACATTTATTCTCCTTGGAATTTGGCACCAGTTGACATCCTCATCCTTTGTTGTCTGATTTTATTTGTATTTACGTTTTTATTTCAGTTTTTTAATCTTATTTTATTTTAATGTTAAGTATTATATTAAAATTTCGTAATGTTTTAGTGTAATTTTTCTTGTAGCCATATACCTTTAATGCACTTTTACACAGCTCGCTTTGATCAACTTTATTGTTAAACATGACCTTGACATGATAGGAAGGCAATAGCAATTTAAATAACTACTTGTTATATTTAAAGTATGCAGAAGAGATGTACGCCTCTGTTAGGGAGTTTTTATTGTTTTATTTGCTTATGCTTCAAAAATTATGTTATACATATTTCACCAGACACAGTTTTCTGTAGAAACAGGAAGCTGACCCTGTGACACTGACAAGAGACCAGTACAGAAATACATATCCGCAGAAGTTGACTTGCATTATATTATTCTTAGAAATTGACTTGCAACACACATACTTTGTGACACACACACACACAGCTTACGCACAGACAGCATCAGGACCTGCGTAACAGGAAATGTGATTATATTTGCATATTGACGATGTAACCTATAAAAATAAACGAATACTGCAGTTCGGTGTGATTTGCTCTGAGCTTTTCACCCGTGCAGCACGTTAACCTACACAAGTGTCTCATTGTTGTTTATTCACCTGACTGTTTGTTAACTGTAAATCTCTGACAGCCTCGAAGCAGAAGACCACACCGTGATTTCTGCTGCAACATTCAGATAGGAGTGTCAGAATCTGGTGTAAAGTATATGAAAGCATGGGTCAGGCTGCTGGAGGTGTAATGGTGTGCGGGATAATTTATTGGTTCATTGTGTTTCCCTTAGTTAAACCCACAGCCTATCTGAGTGTTATTGTTGTGGGAGATCGTCATCACAGTTGAGCAGCCGACAAATCAGCAGTAACTGTGATGTCATCATATTAATATGGGGGGAAAAGTCTGAGGAATGGTTGCAGCATCGTTGAATCCCACGAAGAACCAAAAACGAGAGCCAACCATGTACTAGCAAGATGCACCTGATAAAGTGTTAATTGAATGTATTATAGCGTTCAGTGATAGACAAAGTTCCAGCTTCTAAATGTTCAACTGTTTTTCAGCAGTTTGAGTGTCTTTTTCTGCCTTAAAGGTAATAATTGATCACTTAAGAATTTCTAATTTCCCACATAACACTCTTCCCTCTCGCATTTTCAAGAAAGCTTTGGAGACTATTGGGCCCTGTATTTTACTTTTATTGAGTGCATCACTGACATTAGGTTGTGTACCGACTGCCTTCAAACATGCTGTTGTGCAAACCTTCACCCTAATGCTCTCTCTAATTACAGGCTGATCTCCAAATTTCCTTTTATGTCCAAAATCCTGAAAAACATAGTTCTTAAGCAGTTTCAGGCCTTTTTAGATGTTAATGATATTGGTGAAAACTTCTAGTCTGGTTTCAAACCTCGCCACAGTACTGAGACAGCTTTATTAAGAGTCTGATCTTCTTTTAACCGCTTATTCGGGTTGCTCTGTGGTTTTAGTTTTACTAGATTGGACTTTGCTTTTCATGCGGTTGGTCATAACATTCTTTTATCAAGGCTAGAGGTCGTTCTCCGTTGCTATGGCGCAATTCTCTTCCTCTTCTTTCCGTATTTACTGTGGTGTCCCACAGGGGTCTGTTTTGGGTCCAACTCTTCTCCTTGTACATGCTGCACTTGGGATCCATTTTCAAAAAATACAATATCTCCTTCCACTGCCATGCCGATGACATCTAAATTTACTTTCCCCTGAACTTGGATGTCTCTGCCACACTGCAACCACTGTTTAACTGTCTTCATGATGTCAAAGTCTGGTCATCAAATAATTTTCTCTCCCTGAATGAAAATACAACCAAAGTTATTATTTTTGATAATCATAGCCCTTTGGGCCAGCAAACTGATACTCTTGGTCCTCTTGCTAGCCATCTCTCCCACACTGTAAGAAACCTCGGAGTATTTTTGGATAGCTCTTTCAAATTACAGAATTTTACCAGTTACGTTAGATTTCCAAAGCGAAGCCCTATCTTCCTCTGAAATACCTTGAAAAACTTATTCATGCATTTATCACCACTAGACTCGACTGCAACTCTCTCTACTTGGGCCTCCACGACTCTTCTCTCCATCGTTTGCAGTTAGGTCAAAATGCTGCTGCACGCCTTTAAACTGGTACTAGAATGTATGACCACATCACTCCAGTTTTAGCTAACTTACACTGGCTCCCTGTCAAATATCACATTGATTTTAAAATTCTCTTGCTTGCTTTTAAAATTTTAAACAACTTGGCACCTAGCTATCTAACTAAACTCCTCTACTTGTATAACCCCAAAAGAGCACTAAGATCTTCTTGTCAGATGCTCTTAGTACAACCAAGGTCTCGGCTGAAGTCCAGAGGTGATCGTGCCTTTGCAACTGCAGCACCTAGACTCTGGAATAACCTTCCTGTTGATATTCATACTTCCGAGTCGATTCAGTCTTTTAAATCACATCTTAAAACTCACTTTTTTACTTTGGCTTTTGAATCAAACTAGTTTGACTATCATCCAGCTTGTTTTTTAATGTTTGTCACCTGTGTTGTTTGTTGGTCTGTTTTCTTTCTTAATGCTTCATTTTTTAATTTTTCCCCTTCTCTTTGAACCTTCACAAATGCCCCTTTTTATGTAAGATTTATCAAGAAGTATCATTCTCATATATTTACATGTGGAAAATGACCAGTAGCTGGATTATTTGCACCAGCTTCCTCCTGATTGCCTTTCCCGCTGCCCGAAAGTACCAAAAATCCAACTTAAACACTACGCTGTGCTTCACTGTATCCCAGTGGACATGCCACACATACACAACATCAAACACTGCTGCGGCTCAAAGAAATAACAGGGTAATATTAGACTCAAGTAATAAAAGAGTCAAGTTTAGTAACTCCTTTACTCACCACATAACATCTAAAATTTTGACAATACAAAACAGTTTCAGATTATTGTTAAAGGGAGTTTCTTTTCCACATTTAAAATAGTCCTGGATCAACCAGAATAAGCGATGTTTTCTTTGTGGATACTTCTTAGCAACATGTAATCATACTAAAAACACAAATATTCTTTATAAAAAAATGTTATTACTATAACAACACTACTTTATAATGTAATCAGCTCACAAATACGTTTAAGCCTAAAATAATAAGAAACAGTAAAAAATAAAAGTGTCTACAGCAGGACTGAATAAATAGAAACTGAGTGTCTGGAGTTCTCATTACTGCTCACACAGCGAAGCTGCTAATTAAATCTACATTAGAGGACGTTGTTTCTCTTTGTGGTTTCTTCACATCATTAATGCTCATTTAGCAATTTTGGCACTATATAACTGTGTGTGTGGTTGTGTGTGTCCATCAGTGCAGTATGGTGATACTGCGGTCAGTCACGGCAAAGGCCGGCAGCAGCGGGGCACTGAAGTTCTGTGAGACTGAGTACAGCACAGCGCAGGAGTGTGGCTCGTAAAACAGCAGCGTCTGACTTTGCCAGTCCAGCAGCAGGCCCACCCTCTCTGGCCTCCTCGCCACTTGTAGCGGCACCTTCTTCCCTGCGTGGCAGAAGGAGTAGTCTCCATCGTAGTGAGACAGCACCCAGGACTGACTGTTGTGGCCCAGTCGAGCTTCGTTCCCAGAACCTTTGCGCTCCAGGGAGGCGTAGCAGACCCCGACTTTAAAGGCGCCGCTCTGGCCCACGTCTACCACCCAGCTGTGGGTGCCAGAGGACATAGACACCGAGCCTAAGGCGTTGGGCCAAGAGTCAAATCGTGCTGGGTCGTAGGGTGGAGACTGGCGCGGTTTTTTGTGGAGGAAAGTTAAAGTGCAGAAGTCCTCAGACAGAGAGAGAAGAGGGCTGACTGTGCGCTCATCGAACTTTAAACATGATGATCCATAAGCTGTGAGAAGAAAGGAAAAGGGTGGATTGCTATCATGTTTTTGTTTTTATATTGTTTCCTTATTAAACATGAGAATATGCATGAATACAGAGAATATAGAGAATATAAACAGGACATCAAGCAAATTCCGAGCGCTGCCAAACAGATGGCACATGGCCTCTTCTCCAAACACAGAATACCTGGAATTACTTTACAGTTCTGCCCCGTTCATCTTCCAGATCTTCCTGATATACCAGTAACTCCTGAATTTCTAAGTTGCACAAGTATAATGTGTTTCAGTTTACCCTACATTCAGATGTCCAGGCACAACAAACACACACGCATTAGGAAATCAGATCATCTTTGGAGATAAATGGGTGATTACATGCTTAAATTTGTGTCGCTAAAAAATAAATGTAAGTACTGTATGTGCTTTATGTTCAATTTGCTACAGTTAGCAGGGATATTTTGTAGGGCGTCAGTCTGTGTCTGTATGACAATGAGAGTGACGTTGTCATCATCTTATTATGAAACCTCTGTCTTTCTGCATACTCACCCTACATAGCAGGAGTAGCACACATGTGTATCTTAGGTGTCTGAAGGTTGTTATCTATATCACGCATTATGATGTCATCATGTTGTTTAGCAACCACCTACCAACGACCTAAAATGATCCACTTGTAGAATTTGTGCATCAGTAACACCTTTTGTTTTGATTTCACCACAGTAACACCTGACTGAAGATATTCTATCCGTTTTTTAGGAGAGGGACCACACCCCAAAAACTCCTTACACACATACATTTATAAACTTGCCTAACAACCACCTTACAATGGACTACAATAACATTTATATAGTAGAGCAGGACGTGAGCACTGCAGGGGACCCACAAATAAGGACTCTAAGGATTCTTCCTGCCCAGAATTGATTCATCTTCAATTTATTTATATAAACAAGCTCTAACATCCCTGCTTTTAAAACTTTTATTACAAATTTAGTAGACCAACACATATAACATTTATGCAACAGCTGCAAATGAAGAGTAATGATATTTACCAACATTTTTTAATAAAATTATATTTTTAATGTTAGTATAATTGTTGTAAATGTAATTATATAATTTAAAATTTAAAATTCACTACTTTACAAAAAAAAAAAAAAGCAGGGGAAAAAAAATGAAGCGCATTTATTTTTAGATTAAGATGCCAAATTATTTAGTTGGATTCCTGAATAGAAAAATGAGTTTTAGTAGCTGAATGTTGTTCTTCATGAACTCCTGACCTCTCAGACACAAGTGCCAGATCAAATTTGGGTATAAAAACATGAACTCAGTTTGTTATTTCTCTAATAAATAACACAACTTTTTTAAAATCAATTAATTCAGAAAATATTGTGCTAAACTAAAATGGTAATTATTTTTATGCCTCATTTCAAGGCATAATTTTACTAACCGTCACATTTTAAAGAGTATTTTAGAATAATCATTGAGTTTCAGTTAGGTTTGACTCTGCCATTTCACTGCGGCAATACAATAACTACTTTCCTTTTATGTGAGAAACAAAAAAAACATAATTGGTTTTAACTAGGGCTGGGTATCGTCACTGATTTCTAGAACCGATTTGATTCTGATTCACAAGGTCCCGAATCGATTCGATCCACGATTCGATTCAATTTGAATCTGGGAAATTTTGCCTTAGACAGTCAGAAATATTATAATTCAGATCAGTACATTTACATATTTTTGTATCTATAAAAAGGAAACTGACACTCGCAAGACTTTAGCAAAGGTTGAGCGTCACAGCAGATGCCTTTGTGTCAAAGTAGCTGAAGATAAAACACAGAAAAACATGAAGGTGATTTTCCTGGCCTGGGATTTTATAGTCAGTCCATGTATCAGTGCAAAAAGGGCGTAAACACAAAGCGCGGACCCGCCGAAACATCAGAATCAGCGAGCTGTCGGCTTTCAGCCCCGGCCGTGAGAAAGGCGACATCTCACTGATTCTGATGCGTCGGCGGTCTTTGTGCAGAATCCGTGCACCTGCTCTCATTTACTGTTTTAGCTGTTTGGTGGTTTTTGAAACTGAAATTCTGGCATTTCGGGAAAAATAAATTAATATTAAAAAAAAAAAATCGATTCAGGATTTTAATGAATCGATATCACGTTATCCAAGCCAGAATCGATTTTAATCGATAAATCGATTATCAAAACCCACCCCTAGTTTTAACCATATTTTGGATATTTAGTTTATGGAATATAATGTACTGTTGTTAAAGAATGGGGTTGCCAAGAACCCAGAGTGATGCCAAAGCTGAGTGAACACTGAGCCCAGCCCAGCAGCCAGACCCTGAACTTTAACAGGTAACAACATGATGAGCAGTCAGGCCTCTGTTTCTACCTGTTCATGTGTCTAAAGTAGAATCTGTGTGTTTGCAGCCTCAGGTTTATATAGATAAATGCTGATTATGAGACAATGCATTTAAGGTGATTTTATGGAGAAATGTGAAATGAAGTAGTAAAACAAATTACTTACTCCTAGGTGTAATTAAGTAACATACTGCAATACTTTTAATAGAAGTGTTCTGTGTAATAATTCCTTTTTTTTTTTTTGATTGATGATCCCAACACTTATCACAGGAAGCAGGGGAAATACCTCCATCGTGAATAACCATTTGACCCTCAGCATGAATGTAATATCTTTGACATGCTGCTTAGCGATGGCGGTGACACTCAAAGCTGAGCCAATGAGAATCAGTAATGGAACAGGAGCCGTTTTCTTACATCTGTATAAACTGTAATCGGATATTATACTTTTTTCTGAGCATACTCTACAAAATCCACTCCGTTCATAGGTTTTTAAGGTTGGTAAATACACCTTGTAGTGCTGCAGTGAAAACTTTTATGCTTTTGAATGTGCTGCATTTACACAAAATGATTAACAAGTATAATAGAAATCTACTGACTGTTTGGCCCGAGCAGCACTGCAGTAGCCCACAGACCCCTCAGCAGCTTGCTTTCAGTGCAGCACGGGTTCAGGCTGAGCTGGTCTGTGTCACAGGGCTCCCCGACCCCCTCTGCCTCCTCCACCCTGAGCAGAGAAGCAGAGAAAAGAGGTTTAATGATACAGCTCCTGAGCAAGAAAATAGTATTCACAAAATATTGCTTCATAAAAAAAGAAACATTACCTTTCAGCTATCTCCCGGACACTGGTCTGAAAAATGAGACATTAAGCAGGTGATTACTCTCAGTGATTATGACTGTTATCAGGATACAGTTATTAGAGCCGCCCCTGTTAACCCCTTCCTGCCAAAGCTTCCCGAGTCTCTCACCACCAGCTGTGCGTCGGGAGTGTGCGTCAGCGTGTGCACCAGACGGGAGCGTGTTTGCGACAGATTCGTCAACGCTTGGCCCCAGTGGGCTCTCTGGGTCAGGAGACACTGCTCCACACGCTCCTCCTCTCTCTGCACCTCCTCCAAGAGACGCTGCTCCTCCTCCTCCAGGGCTTCGCGTGCCGCGCTCACCTGAGCCAGCACCTGCTCCCTCGCCCTGCTCGCCGCTGCCTGCATAATAAGACAGCAGGGAAGAAGAAATGCATGAGTGTGGAGTGAATACTTGTGGTTTGGAATCCAACTGCATAAATGATAAATCCTTTATTGATTTATCAATGATTTTAAAATGATTTCCTTTAAAATCTGGCACGAGAAAACTGAAAATGAAACATTTACTGTCTCCAAAATTAAAATCTTTATCCTTGTGCATCTCCTGTGAATTAGTCTCACGTGGTTTTTACTCTCTTTTAATCATTTAGGGTCACTTGTACAGTTCTTTGAATATCACAAATGCATGAAAAATGCCATAAAAACCACATCCACAGTCCCAGCACTAATTTTCACATCTTCATACTTTAACTGACTAACATGACAATATACATACAGCACAGCGTGAGCCAATCAAACTGTGTCAGCTATCTGAGATGTTGGCCTGCAGTAGCATGGGTATTATTTTTAGTTAAATAGAATAAAAATAAAAAACAGACTTTAAAAGAATGTAATCTAAGTGAAACGCTTTGTGAAATCTCATTAGTATCATAGTAACATCCCTCCTTTAGTATCCATTATTTTGGTAACAATTTTATTACAACTCGCCTGATGGGTCAGTGGTGGATGGTTGAAGGTCTACAAGTCTGTTTTTTTAAATGTTTTAATGTAACACCTGCACTGCTATAATAAATTCAAGTGCACGTCGCATATTCTGATAAAATTTGTCATACTGTGACGTCGTCTCTCTTTTTAATGCCCACTTCCTATCTGGTATTCTCTCCTATAACTCAAACACTGGCCTACACCCACGCCTAATGGAAGCTGCTGCTGCTCATAAGCAGTGACACAAGCACTTGACGGTGGGCACGGACGACAGCTCGTTAATGATACTTGTGACTCGCACATCTGACCAAGCACAGCAAAGTGTACAGAGATTCACTGACCACGCTCTTTTTATCCCCCCCACTGTGTAAAGCTATTTTGTTACAGAAACATTTGATTCCTGCTCAGGTCTGGTGGTAGTTTTCCACTTATCAGGCTTTTCTTGTTTGCTTGAGGCTCGATTTGGTCTCTTTAGTGCACAAGCACGACTTGTCCTGAACACCCATTAAGCTAAGAGAGGCTGCAGACTTTGCTACGTGCACTGAATCAGCAAGACTTGCCCCATGCTTTGTTGTTACAGTCTTCATTCGTTACATTTTTATATATTTTTAAGTCAGTGATTATATCAAAGTCTTTTAAACCACGTGAAGCACATGTTATAAAATATATTATCATTATCTTTTCATTATTATACCTCCGGGTTAACACTTAATTGTAAGAGAAAATAAATAATTGCCTCCTAATATTTATAGAACTTACACATACGGTCATATAAAGGAATAAACGGGTAAATGCATGTTAAGTTTTGTTTTACGTGCAAAAAAATTCAAAGAAAAATTTGCCAATAATCAATTAGTTTGCATATTTATCAAAGAAATGTCCCAGTTTTGTTTGTTTTTCTGAAATATGTGGATTTGCTTCTGTTTCTCTGCTCTAATGTGAACTGAATAATTTGGGTTTAGATGGACAAAACAGTCAAAATAAAGACTTCACTTTGGGCTCAGAGAGTTGATTTATATATGTATATTATACTAATAGTAAAAGAAAAAAAATTAATAAATTGACTGATCAGTAGAAACAGATAGCAGCTTGTAGAAATTCCTATCACTATACACAAACCCAAAACGTGGCCAAAAATTCACATCTGAAACAGGATCCAGCAAATGTCAACACAATGCACTTGCTAAACAGGCTCCATAGCATTTGGATGCTGAGATCATCATGAGTGTGTGGTGAGCCTGGGTGGGTGTGGATCACCTGAAGCTTCTGCTCTTTGGCTGCCAGTGTCTGCTCGATAAACCTCTCAATCCTCAGGGCCTGCAGCTGCATTTTCTCACACACGTCCACCAGTTTGTCCTGATAAGAAAAAGGAAAAAAAAGAAAAACCTAAATAGGCTGTACACTGTCTGCAGTTCAGAAATAAAAACACATTAGAAACCACGTGGCATTCATCAGCTGGAAACACAGCAAGAAAATCCTGTATTCTCAAATACTGCTGAGAGGAATCAGCCAGTGTGGCACTCCCAAAAAAGCCCTAAGAGCTACACAAACATTAACTTAACAAATATGGAAACACCCGGGCCACTTTGTTTCATAATAACTGTTATCTGGATAACTGTTATGGTTATACAACTGTAGGTGAAATATAAAAATCCACACTTTGTCAGTCACGATGGGCAAAATCTTTCACAAAAACTCAATTAAATCAAAGTATTTTTACTTTTTAAACATGTATTTTGTTAAGTTTAGTCAGAAAAAGGTCATTTTATGTTAAATAGGGTTAGAAGAAAATAGTTGCCCTTAAAGATAGTTCCACTCAGACAAAGTGAAACCTTCCTGAAGCCATTTGGAGACCTGCAGGCAGATTATTCCGGGTGAAAATGTGTATTTATTGTAGCTATACACCCCTGAACTGAAAATGATCACTATTAAAACCCATATGAGTGAAATATGTTAAAACAGCTGTTGCTTGGCTGCCCGAGACTCACCCTGACTCTGGTGACTCTGGTGGCCAGAGGGGTCACGGTGTGTCCCTGGCAGGAGCCCACGGTGGCGCAGTGGGAGCAGATGAGTTTCTGCTCGGTGCCGCAGAACCAGTCCAGCTCGGATTCGTGGTCTACACACAGCTCACTCTCAACAGAGTAGATCCCGGACTCGGTGTCGGAGGTGGCCGCAGCCAGTGAGGTTTTTCCGGGACTGCCGCTCATAGTCGGCCGCGGAGCGTCGACTGTCTTCTGCAGCTTCATTCCGCCTCCCAGCGCGGAGAAAATGGGCTGCTCGCACTCCATACTCCAGCTTTTAACTTTTAGAGCCTCCTCTGGGTCACCCGATGGGGACGAGCATGTTAAATCACACGTTTCGAAGTCCTCGGTCATGGCACGAAAACAGGACAGGTGCACCGGCGGAGGAGGAGTCGCATCAAGAGCGTAGCAGTAACACAGGTGTAACAGGTGAGCGGAACGCGGAAGTAACAGGGATCTCAGAGGTCAGAGCTCAAAGTCAGAAAAAAGAAAAAAAAAAGCTTCTGGTTTTCACACGAGCGTCACCTGATAACCGTCCGTAGAGTCTGAAATCATGCCATCATGCAAGCAGGTGTTATAGGCCTGTGTCCTTATGGCCTAATAGCCTGCGGTTACATATTCATAGTATCTCTCATTTCCCTGTTTCACTGGTGTTCCTGATTTTGGCCACTTGAGAACCTTTTTTTTTTCTTTTTCAATATGCAGATAACACCTTTGGTTTTAAAACAGTTACTTTGTTTAATAAAGCACAGCTCAAAGGGCAGGAGTTCAACCTTAGTCAGCTTTAATTCATAGCCCTACATTGTGGTTATTTCAGAAGAAATTCATATATAGATAATATCTTAAAAATCCTACTAACTGAGCAAAGTCCCTAAAATTCAGCATTCAGTGGGATATTGTAGAACAGGTCAGGGTACATTAGGTAAATCACACTCCGATAATTAATGAGAATGTTTCTTTGTAAACATTTATGCTTTTTATATACTTAAAATGTGTCAAATAGATTTTTGCTATACTTCGAACAAAGTAAAACTCTCACGTGTAAAATAAAAAGGCTTTATTTCCTCATTTTGGCTCATTTATGGTGAGTTTCTGTATCAATGCAACAATAGGACCCTGGAGTGTCTGTTAGATACCTGTGTGTGAGCAGAGCGTAATTATATTTTTCAGGAAGGACAGGTGTGATAGAAACTCATGGTTCATTTTATGACTATGTGCAGGGATCGGCAGTGCGGCCACACCTTGAGACAGTTCATTTAGCAATACTGAGCAACACCCACTCCCTGGAAAAGCCAGTGAATCCAGAGAGACCTGGGAATACCCAATGTACACTTTGGAAGATGGTCTGCTATCACATATCATACCACAGCCAAGTCCATTAACAAAAAATGCCACTTGCTTTGTAAGGTGTGCCATCCAAAAAAACTCTTTAGCCGCCTCTTATTTCATTACATTTTGCTGGGATGAGAAACAGGTGCAGCGATTTATTGAGCTTCAGGCTTCTTGAGGACATTCAAAGCTCTTCTTTGGATGTTGGTTTCCTTTTGTTCTGTTCTCTGGCCACATGATCCCATGCAGCTCCATTAATGTTGAGGTTCACGCTCTAATCAATGAGTCATAGTTTTCCACTGTGTGTCTTTCTATTCAGGTAAGTAAATAAGTAAGTAAGTTGAGTAAGCAAAGTTTATTTATAGAGAGCTTTTCACAGATATAAACGTCACACAGAGCTGTACAACAATTAAAACACAATTAATAAGAAAAACAGACTAAAAATAGCCCTGATTAAACAGAAAAGTGTTTAATAGTTTTTTTAAAGACTCCACAGACACACACTGTTGTGACTCTCCCCTGATGACCTCCATATATAGATAACTTTCAAATTTGGATTCATCGCTCCATCAGACCTGTTGCCACTGATTTTCAGTCCAGTTCTTGTGTAATTTGGCACAACTCAGCCTTGACTCCTTGTTTCCCTTCCTTAAGGATGGATTAATGACAGCCAGCTGAGACCATTTCTGATGAGGCTTCAGTGAACTGCAGATAGATCAACTGAAGGTCCAGATGCATCTCTCATTTCCTGTTTCATGAGGAAATGTAGATAGGTTTTTTTTAGGTTTGGCATGTCTTTTTTGTCCTCCACTTTTCCAGATTTTTCCATTTTTTAAGTCACACTGCACACCATGCTGAGATATATTAAGCATTCATCTAATAGCTAACTAGCAATCCCCTTTCTGGAGCAATGTTATGCCTGTCAAACTGTGCTATCTTTGACTTCTTTTGTAGATGTTCTATTGTGATAGGCTAAAAAAAAAGTGCCTTAAGATACGTTTTAAAATTGGTTCTTTGCCCAGTTTTCATGTTTAGACACAGCTCTGGTTCATCCTTTCAGTTAGATGCTTTTCTTATGCTTGAATGATTTACGTGCCAGTGTTATGCAGTTCAGCAAATAAAAAAACACCCCTTGGAAAATGGTCACATACAAGGAGTACAGTGAAAAGTGAGAAAAACAGCTGATGTCCAAAGAAAAACTGACAGACATTTGGAAAAATGAATAATGGTCAAAAGCACTTTAAATAGTAACAAGAAAGTCACCTGTACATTTTGGAGCAAACAGATCAGATCTCAAGAAACTCAAACCAGCAGGAAGAGACACCCCCACCCCCGACCCCCACCCACTCCTCCCAGAGCCATGTCTTTAGAGAAATGAATAGGAGTGATTGACAGGACAGCGTCATGCCTTTTGGCTCAGATAAGGTGGGTTTCCACTCAGTTCACTTTGAACTGAGAACAACAGAGAAACAGGGCTACCATTGTTATACTGACATAAAAAGCTGTTTTGTAAAGGGGAAACAAGTAAACACAAGACAAAGAGGTGCTTATATCATGAAATGATTAAGGGTTTCCAGCACACTGAGTTTGTTGTGGGAGAATGATGGCTATGTGATTACACAGTAAAAGAAGGAAAACAATAAAAAGATTTTTAATAATCCAGACAAAAAACAAATGAAGCTCATGCTTTTCTGTCTCTTGATGCATCCTGATGAGTTCCATTAGAAGATAAAGTTACATCTGATATGATCTTCGTGATCAGTGATCTTAAAGAAGTAACTGCAGCTTCCCATCAATCTGGAAAGGGTTATAAGACCATTACCAAATGATTTAAAGTCATACATTATACCGTTATGCCATTATAGAGTATGAAAGATTATTCACAAGTGGAAAACATTCAAGACAGTTGCCAGTTTTCCCAGGAGTCGACGTCCCAGCAAATTCACTCCAAGGTCAGAGTGTGCCGTGCTCAGAGAAGCTACAAAAAGCTGAGAGCTACATTTCAGACTCTACATGCCTGAAAAATGTTCAGCAAATGTTCAAGTTCATGATAGCACAATTAGAAAAACACTGAACAAGTTTGGCGTGTTTGGAAAGGTTGCCGGGTTAAAGCCACTTCTTTCTCAAAAGAACGTGGCAGTGCGGCTTAACTTTGCAAAAGTGCACCTGAACAAACTATAAGACTTCTGGTACAATGTCCTTTGCAAGATGAGACCAAAGAGACCATTTTTGGCCATAAAGAACATCAATACAAAAATCTAAATTTAACAAAAATCAAACAAAGCATATCAGCACAAATGCCTCATATGAACTGTCAGTGTGGTGGGGGAGGGGAGATCATTTGGGCTTGTTTTGCAGTAACAGCACCTGAGCAACTCTGTATACCAAAGTATATGTCAAATGTGAGGCCATCTGTGCAAGAGGGATCCTAACAACAGCAGCAAATTTCAACAGAATAACTTAAAAAGAAAAGGCATAAAGAAATTCTTACATATTTGCTCTTTTATTAAGCATTTCTTCTACATTTTCAGTCTAACTCAAGCTGCTTGGTTTGAGGTTTCTGTAATACTGCTCCTGATCTCCAGAGGGCGCTGGCTCCCCTTAACTAAACATAACGTGTGTTGGTGTGAGGTTCCAGACTTTTTTTTTTTTTTTTTTTTTTGTGAGGTTCCAGACTGTGGCTGTGTCCCAATTAAGAGACTGCGCGCTTTAAGTACGCGCACTACGCGTACTACGTACGGTGCGTACTATAAGTACGAGAAGTGCGGAAGTGAGAAGCTTGTGAAATGGGACTTCGTCGCGCTGTTCAGGTTGCCTAGCAACCATGATACTAACCGCGGGACACGTTACATACAGCTTTGTTTGACAGAAATGAAGGAGAAAAATGTTTTGTTGGTCATTCATTTTTGTCATGACATCACTTTGATTAGTTGAGTATCTGAGGCTGAGACCACGGGACTGTAAAACATGATTGTTGGGCTTCATTTCTGTGCTGAACAGTCATTTAAGATCAGTTAGTAAATAACAATTAGTTAATGTTGTTCATGAGACTAAAGTCAACTCACTGTGGTCAACTCACTGTGGCAATGTAAATATAATATGGCCAATATTATAGTATTGTCAGATTATTATGATTATATATATATATATATATATATATATATATATATATAATTATATATACATATATATAATATATACATATATATATATATATATATATTATATATATATATATACAATATATATCACTGACTTTCAGCTTGTTGTGTTTGTGGATATATGACTGACTTTAATTATTAAACATTCGCACATAAATAAGTGACGTCATATTCAGTACTTTTGACAGTTCACTCTTCGGCCGCTCCATCTTATTAGGGAAATTCCACATACATAAATGTAAATTTCAAAACTCAACCCCATCATTTAATTTGTTTTTGATTGAAATTGAATATTACTTAAACTCTCTTAAATTAACTTCCAATAAAAAAGGTTTATCATTGATTGAAATTCATTCAGAAATGTTTAACGAATGAGCTGTCACAACTTTCAAGTACAAAGTTGTTATGAAGTCTGTCACATTCCCCCCTTTTTTCTTTTTTTCCTTTATTTATTTATCCTTCTTATTTCATTGTACTGTATATTGTTACTCTTATTTGCCTTGTATGTGTCTACTGTACAAACTGAACTGGAATGACTGACTGTTCGCTTTATGGTTTCAATAAAGTTTGGAGAGAGAAAAAACAACCTCTTCAGCCGCTCCCGTCTGCCGTATTTTGCGGTAAAATTATCCACACCCACCGCCGCACTATGAATTGTGGGATATATGGGACCACGAAGCGTGCACCGGACTGTCACTGTCACGACGGACCACGCTTGATATTTGGGGAAATCGACGGCGCATTTGGAGTGTGCATTTGAAGTACACTTCGAATTGGGACAGCCGTCGTCGCGTGGCGGTGACGTAACCAGTGTCCTGCAGGTTTTAGATCTCACCCTGGGTCAACACACCCAAATCACACGATTAGTTTATTAGCAGGTTTCTGGAGAACTACAAGAGTTGAGGAGGTAATTTAGCAATTTGAACCAGCTGTGTTGGATCAAGGACACATCTAAAACCTGCAGGACACCGGTCCTCCAGGCCTGGAGTTCGACACATGTGCTGTAAATTGTCATGATCCCTGGGTCTTGACCCAAGGTGTTGTTTGTCTGTGTGTTTTGTTTCCATTTTATCTT